GCAACCGGTGTCCTATTTGAAACCGTCCCCTCTACATGATGACGAACTGAGATCGATGAGAGTGATTAGTTGATAACTACAGAACAGTGTGTAACTGTGTATGCACTGGAGCCGCGCAGAGCCCTAGCCCTCACCATGCTCACTGGCCTCAGCCAGGGTCAGGGTCTTGAACGGCGTCTGCGTACATGTAGATCTACACTGTCTGTACTGTACAGTCTGTACTGTAGTCCAGTCTGTCATCATCGCTCATACCCACGCATCACTGTCTGCACTGCAGCCTAGTGCAGGCTAGCCAAGTCTAGTTCTGTGCACCCGAGCTGTGACACTGTGACTTTGGTAGCTGTGAGTGTGAGGCGCTGCACTGATTTTTCTGTTCTTGGCGGGTCAGCAGCAAGCTGTCTGGGCAAAAAAAAAACAGTTCACAGTTTGAGATGGCAAGTACTGTTGCTTGTTGGGACATCTAGAAACCATTGGTATCCAATTATTTTACAATTGTAGCTCGTGCCACTTCACCATTATAGGATGCGATCTTCGCTGATCAGCAGCAACCTGTATGCGCCTCCTGCTTGCGTTCGGCAATGGACATTTGCTCCTTTCGCAGTTCTTTTCGCTTCAAATGTGGCGAATGGATGGGAAAGAAGGAGTGCGTATATTTGATGACGCTCGGCGACGATTCGAAATGGACCGGGACAAGCGGAAAGCCGATACTGGAGAAGGATCTCATCAGAAATCGCGCTGGCATCTTGGACATGCCCACGGCAGTACTCAAGACACTGACAATCTGCCCCAAGCATCGTTACTTGTGAGTGTGAATTGATAATCTATTCTTAGCCTGCTGGCAGCAATAACAAAATCGATCTGGCAATTGTGTAGTTTATTATTTTATTTATTATATATATTTTGAGGATTTCCCAAAGACGTAGTCTAAATTGAAGGGAGTTCCATTATTGGGAGGCTGTAGGGTTGAGATAGCAGACAGTGGAGGGCTAATAATTCGTAATGAACAGCCTAGCAAGAGAAATACAATTAATATGCTGAATGTTCCAGAATGGTCCTTTAATCAATGATACCTATAGCCTCGGGGTATGCCTTGAAATACGGAATGTACCGAAACAGAAACACAAAAATTTATAAGAATAAGCGCAACGCACAAAGAAGGAGGACAGAGGCATGTCAGTGCGGAGTGGCATTGTGTTTGGTAGTTATTGTGATTGACCACCCATTTTTATGTGATTGCTTCAAATCGATTTCCAACATCATAAGGCTGCTAGCTTGATAACTGCACGACTGTGGCGTAGTAAAAGTGGAATGGGTTCCTTCTCTTCCGTCTGCCTGAGATGAAGGCAAAACTCATACAGTCACTTCCGAAGTCGTCGTGAATAACAACTTCGGATACACCGGTAATGACAGTCTCTTGAAAGTTTTCGGTGGATATTGTTTGTTTGTGTTTATTTTAAACGAGAACTACTGATGGTTGATAAAATATGGTGGGAAAGACACACCCGGCAATTTGACGGTAAACACACGCTCTCTAAGCTGCAAAGTTCTGGCACAAAGCTCTCCTTCTCACCAGCACCACCATCAGTTCGCGCCTGGCGCCTAGTCGATGCATGGTTGGCGGTATCCGACATAGCAGGCTGGTACACCAAGTAGTGCATGGCACATAGAAAATGCCACAGCAACGACATAGCTCGATTGCGACGTACGTTTCGTCCCCGCTTGACTCATCACGCAATTTTCTTCTTGGATGTCTTCATACGGAGCTTAACTCGGGAGAATGAAGTTGAAGACATCACTGGAGCTGTACTTATGGTTGTTAAATATGGTGGTAAAGACACACCCGGCAATATGGCGGTAAACACACGCTCTCTAAGCTGCAAAGTTCTGGCACAGAGCTCTCCTTCTCACCACCACCACCACAATCAGTTCGCGCCTAGTCGATGCATGGTTGGCGGTATCCGACATAGCAGGCTGGTACATCAAGTAGTGCATGGCACATAGAAGATGACATGGCAACGACATAGCTCGATTGCGACGTACGTTTTGTCCCGGCTGGACTCATCACGCAATTTTCTTCTTGAATGTCTTCATACGGAGCTTGACTCGGGAGAATGAAGTTGAAGCCACCACTGGAGCTGTACTTATGGTTGATAAATATGGTGGTAAAGACACACCCGGCAATATGGCGGTAAACACACGCTCTCAGCAACAACATAGCTCGATTGAGACGTACGTTTTGTCCCCGACGTACGGTTCATTCTCCCGAGTCAAGCTCCGTATGAAGACATCCAAGAAGGAGATTGCCTGATGAGTCCAGCGGGGAGGAAATGTATGTCGCAATCGAGCTATATCGTTGCTGTGTCATCTTCTATGTACCATGCGCTACTTGATGTACCAGCCTGCTATGTCGGATACCGCCAACCATGCATCGACTAGGCGCCAGGCGCGAGCTGATGGTGCTGGTGGTGGTGAGAAGGAGAGCTCTGTGCCAGAACTTTGTAGCTTAGAGAGCGTGTGTGGGCAGGCATGTGTTTACCGCCATATTGCCGGGTGTGTATTTACACCATATTTATCAACCATAAGTACAACTGCAGTGGTGTCTTCAACTTCATTCTCCCGAGAACTACTATGTAGGCCCAATAACATCAAGGCAAATATGGAAGGAACGAAACGAGAAAAAAAATCTTCAGAACAAGGACCCACTCGACCACATGCTTTTAACCTTGCTGATTACAAAAATTCCTTATTTTTTCATCAATATTCTTTTATCCGATCGAGGCTCGAAATCTGCCAGGTTGACTGGTTATTTACATCCCTATGGATACAGAGGAGGGCAAATGGTATTTTTGGATTTGACTCTGGGTATTCCGGAACAGTAATTTTCACGAAGAAAAATGCTGAAATACAGAAAAGCCTGTCTAAGACGACCGCTCAAGGTCCAATAAAATGAAATGTGATCCCCGTGCACTGCGGTTTGCCATATCCAGGGTCACTTGACTCGAATTAACATTTCTTGGTCTTGGTTGCAGTCCTCGTGAAATGGTAGTTGCAGCCTTGACAGACTCTGCTGTGTTTTGAATTTCTTTCTTCCTGTTTCTGGTTTGCATTGTTTCTGTTGCCCCGATTCAGCTATTTGTGGGAATTCCCCATGGCGCGCGTGAAGAAATGCCACTATCGCTTCCATCCCAAGGACGAGCCGATTCACCTAGTCCATGCGCAGATCCAAGCACCGTACGTGGTAACGCAGAAAATATCGAACAGAATGTTTCGCACTCGCCGTGAGCACGGCCCGCTTCTGCCAATCAGCGACCCGCGGCGCATCACACACCCGTCGTATCTACCAATCGGCGCAAGTAAGTCGTCAACTTTTTAGTTTTAGATTCATTCCTTCACAGGGCATGCAATGGCATTAAATCCCCATCCTATGGAAGGTACATGTAACTGAGTGGCAACATGCCCATTTAGCGGTCTAAGCCATACATGACCTAAACATCTACAGAAAGCCCATATATGTAGTACTCTATTTTTTCTAGTAAAACTGAGAAGGACAAAATGCTACGAGTCATGACAAACTATCCATAACTGTCTATTTTTTTAATCCTTTCCTTTTCCTTATAATTGTGTGCCTGTAGTGGATCTCATGTAACAACACTGCCTGTTTGTTGTTGGACATTAAATAAACCAATATAATCCAATCCAAATCCAGCAGAGAACTTTTTGACTGGCAAGCGTACTATAAGACACGTATTGCATCTTCTCATATCCTGAAGTATGGTGAATAGAACAAGGAAGATTTGTCATTGTCTTGTGTGACCAACCCACGGAGAGTAGCCGGCCAAGTGGGGTTCACAAGAGTGGCAAACTAGGTTTCTTTGTTTCTCTGAGGTTGACGGTAATAGGGCAAGTCACATACCGTATTTTTCCGGCTCTAAGTCGGCCTTTCACTACTAAAAAATTGAAGGAGGAAGGGTGGGGGTCGACTTACAACCGGGATTCGACTTATAACCGGGAACTATCAGTATCTTACAAAAAATTGCCTGCAATGCATGCACGAGTGCACCATGTGTACACATTTTTGCCAGTTTATTGCCTTTTTTCAAGGATTGGGACGTTATACCCTCCAATAAGGAATGTTTACATGATTTGTTGATGTGTTAGTAGCAGGGAGTAGTTAGTCGGGGTGATAACTTTAAAAAGCAGAATCGAGACCTCCAAATACGGGGTCCACCTCTAACCGGGGTTGACTTCCAACCGGTAGAATACGGTAACAGTTGCCTTAAGATTGGCACCATGGAGGACTCATCTACTTATGTAAACCGGTATGCATGTGTTTGTTCTAGCTGCACATGCCGTAGAACTTGCAGCTGTATTCTTATTAGTGCTGAAACGATTATATCGATTACTCGTTACTTACTCGATAAGAAATAGATCGAACGGTTATTTCGATTTTATCGGCTAAACGAGTAGAATGGTACTCACGCTCGGCACGGGATTTCCCCCCTTTGGGGGTCGCACAAAGCGTGCATGCATCGAAAGTGTTGCGAGTACGACATGAATATGTACATGACTGTACACCATGTACACTTGCAACATCGATGTACGTGTAAAAGCACAAGCGCGATCTGTGAAACATCGACGCGATCATCGTCGCCGTCTTTTGAGCTGACTACGTAGATCCACTTTCCATACAGCATGCAGGACGAGCAGGCTCAGTACCGGTATGTGTCTACACCACTCACTAGCTGCAGGGGCTGGAGTTCCCTCCACGTGCGAGTAGTCTTGAGCTAAAGACAGTAAAGTGGTCTTCAGTTTCATGTTTTCCGTTCTGTCGACGGTTCCCGAACCAGTTTGCTCGACGACGAGCTAGGCCTGGCGTCTGGGCCTATTTTGAGCATAGACAGGAAAAGCAACTAGTTACTTGTTGGTGCGCCTCAAGTCAGCTCATCCGTCGAAATCCACCGGTCTGCACTCCTGGCCGGCTTCTCTGACTTCATCGTCTGAGTCAGCGAAGTCACAGGCGAAGGGCACCATCAGCACTTGGGTTGCAACCAGTGAGTTGCCTCTGTCTGGTCTGTATTCGTCTGGTCAGTCCGAACAGCTGACGGACTTGTTGCGGGATCATCGGATCTATGCGCCCGCTTTTCGTCGTTGGCGATGTTGGACTCGTAATTTTTTTGGAATTCACAGAATGTACATGTACTGATGTAGTTACAATAATAATCGTTTAGCCGATAAGCCGATCGTTATGGTATCAGCTAAGCCACTAAGGAAAAAACGTAATCGTTTCAGCACTAATTCTTATATTAAAAAAATAGTGGTAACAACCTCAGCAATAATTTTATAAGGAATTTTGAGGTCTGCATAAGGTAGTTATGACTATACTTTGATGGAACACTGCCCCTGATTTGATTGTTCCGATCCAGTTCTGTGTGGAAGTTGTGAGGCAAGACTACAGAGACTGAAGCCGACGGTTGTGCAGAAACCACAAGTCCAGCAGATCGGTCGCTACTCTCCCCGCAAATTGCCGGTGAGTACATCAGTAAATCTTTTCTTCTTCTTCTCCATTATTCTTTTTCTTTACTTTCTCTTCTTCCTTTGCTGAGAGCCTTCTGTTCCCGTATTTTCCTTTCATCTCTGTCCCCATTCCTGGGTTATTTGGACTTCATTCGCTTCCTTGTCATTGGACATGTTCAGTCCGTTCGGTTTGCGAATTCAAATAAACACAACCAAATTGCATGTAGCCTTGATGAGTGTTTTTTGAAACACGAAACTCGGAGTTACGAGAAAGATTTTTTCGTCTCTGTGGTTCTGCCCCGTGCCTTGATACTTATGATACTTAGGTCATGCACACATGCACCTGGTATGCTATGGTATGCCATGCATACCCCTCCCGAAAGAGTGTGCAACTCCTGCATACCCCGCTGTCCCGACAGAATACCAAGTTCACATTCTTTTTTACGATGCAATGCTCCTTGCACCAGTGTTTTACGATATTTGTACGGGGTGTCAACGCTAGTGTTGAAACGATCTCACCGGATACTCGTTAGCTCGCTCGCCAGAAACTCGGCTCGTTTGTGCGGCCAGCTCGTTTGCACTAACGAACACTGTACACCGTACTCCGTACACATGGCAGTACATGTCGACCGGAGAGTCGTAAAATATTTTACGACTCCCTGGTCGATCGAGAGTCCAGTCCCGCGCAAAGTGAAAATCACTCGCAGTTACAGTGACTGTATGCCTGCACGACACTTGAGTTGTTGCAGTTGTCGTTGCAGCTTTGGTGGGCTCTAGTGATGTCTTGTTCCGCATCTGCTGACCTGACGCAGGATATTCTTCGGTCACCTCTCCATTCGAGTGAAAGTTTCGCTCAGTCATTTGGAAGTTTTCTCCCGCAATGCAGCGAAGACCAGGGCTACTTGCAATCTTTGCAAAACGGTCTATTCTTACAAAGGCTACTCAACGACGGCGCTGAAAAGACATCTCGACACCAAACAGCAGTCCGAAGTGAAGCAGCAGCAACCCCAAATGCCGGCGGTGATAATTTGAACCAGCTGAAAAAATCGGACTAAGAAATTTTTTTATTCAAAAAATCATATTTGCCACATCAATGAAACTCGTTAGCTCGCTCGATAGCTTGCTCGTTAGTGAAACTGATCGCTCGTTTGTTATAGATACGCTCGTTTCAACACTAGTCAACGCATCGCACCAAGTGTACATAACCAAGAGTGTGGAACTCAATGAACCCTCAGCCCATGGCCTAATTGTTTTTATGACATCAGTCTTTGGTGTCTGGTTGGCTGACTTAGCCAAAGATCAAAGTACAAATAATTTGTACATTACAGCTACGGTGGTCGAAGCAGAACAACGGATGATAGATCGATGTGTCTTGAACCTAATGTACTCACACGGTATCTACATAACAAGCACGGGACAGCACACCCACTTCATCATACTTCTGCCAGAGATTGACTCAATAATAACATTCCGCCGTGGGTGAACCAATCACAGCTCAAGATAGGAGTTGCACGCTCTTGGTTATGTACTCTTGATCACACCTGTTTCCATGAACTAGGTTGTGCAGGATTAAATGAGGCTTTGGCCACCACAGGCTCATGAGACGTCTGGTAATGTGTGCTCAAATCTGGACTGGATTTTAACTTTTTAAGCCACCCCACTTCTTTTACACAAAATTTGAAATTCCAGTACTTTGACTTGATGAAAGTGAAGCTGTCAAGTCAGTCTGGAGGGGAAAATTCATTTGGATTGTTTTTGATAAAGGGTTCAGTTCTGTGAAAACACAAGTGGTGAATTGATTGTTACTTTGTCCTCTCTATGCGTGTGCTCATTCACATTGCGTAGGGTTGGCTTATGGATCATGAGGTGGCTTTGACAAACGGGCTGCTGACGCCGTTCGACATGGATGGTCTGAAGGCTGCCATCGAGGTGGAGAGAGAGTGGAGGCGTGGGTTCACTTCATCTTCCAGCAGCAGCGAGGAGAGCACCAGTATGGACGGCGCTACGAATGACGAGAGTGAAGCACCATTCGGCACACAAGGAAAGGCTGGTGATAGTGACAATGACAGTACAGATACAGGCACTGAGGAAGATGAGAGCGAGGCTAGCCAGCAAATGCCTTCCACCCAAGACCAGCCCAAGGAGGCACCCGTCCTGCGCGGCATCCTGAAAAAGCCACCTTCAGCCGAAACGAAAGAAGCGGACACGAAAACACAAGATGGAGAGCCGATGGTAAAGAAAAAGAAGACGCTCAGATTTACATTGCCGGAGGATGAAGAAGAGAAAAAGAGCAAGGTGGTTGTTGAGAAAGCTAGCCAGCAAAGTGCATTGACGAAGTCAAACATAGCACCAACCAAAAGTAAACAAAATCCCAGCACCACAACGAGAGGGTTGAATGCAGCAAAGCCCGGGAAAGCAACAACTCAAACTGGACAATCCAAGGCAAATATGTCCCAAGCTAAAGTTAGTGGTGGAAAGTCGATTGCTGGCCGTCGTAAAGTAGAGGAAGTTGAAGAGGAGGATAATGCCTTCAAGATCTCTACTGACGTTGCACGCGGGGGAAAAGTCAAAGTCCTCACACCGATGCAAGAGAAAGCAATAGCCTTCGTCACACGCTACGGCTGTGCCAAAAAAATCATGAGGATTCGGAGACTCCCACCATCTCCTGAGATCAAGCGTGATTCTCCCTCCAACAGTAAGAGTGGCGGGGACAGAGACAGTGGTGGACGCAGTGACAGTAGCGGGAGCAGTGACACTAGTGACAGTAGCGGGAGCAGTGATAGCAGCGATAGCAATGATCCAACCACCCTGTCATCCACAACCAGCAAGGGCCCAAAAACAGCAAAGGACACTGCAGCCGCTGGCACCGTGTCTACCAACAAGCCAGGACAGCACAGCAAGCAGACAAAGAAGAAGGTAGGCGGAAAGCAGCCCATGCCAACAGGAGAACAAGCAAGAAACACTGCTGCTATCAACAAGATCCAAGAAAAACAGAAAAGCAAAGTGGCTGTGCAAGATGACAAAAACCTACAGATGAGGAAGAAAGTCAAGCAGACCACTTTAGGTGAGAAGGGCTCTGAAGCTAACCTGGACGTGCAAAATCAAAACCAGAAAGCTCACCATAAGAAGAAGTCAACTACAGCTCAACCTGGAAATGAAAAGAACAATGAGAAGGCCAAGGACATGAACAACTCGAAAGAGCCCGGCAAGGATGAAGAAGCAGATACTAATAAGAAGCAAGAACAGGAGATGGCTAATACTGGAGCTGCTACTAACCTGGATGATAACAGACTAGTGAAGGTGACTGTTACGGCTACTGGCATAGACACTGAAATGACAAGCGCATCTACTGGTCTGGAGAATCTTCCACAACCATCGGGTGCAGTTATTCAGCCCGGGACTGAGACATTGCAGCATCAGACAGAGTCAAAAACCATTGCAAATACGAGTGATACTGCTAGTGCGGAGCATGAAGGCAAGGAGAAGCCGAAAGCCACGGGACTGGACAGCGACAGAAACACAGAAGCCCAAAAACTAACGACGCACAAGGCAACAGGAGCAGATGACGAAATACGTCCTGAGGAGCCACATGGCGAAAAGAAATCAGAATCTGATGGCACCACAAGGAAAGGAGAAGCAGAGCCTGACCGAGATCTGCAGATGGCCGGACCGGATAGGGAATCAGAAAATAATGCAGCAAAGCTGAAGAAGAAACCTGAAGCAGCTGAAATCAACAGTCAGACGCATGTCAGGGAGCCATTGCGTCAGGAAGCACCATCAACAACTGCAGGAATCACGCCTGTGAATGCTGATGAAAGGGCTAGCAGCCAAGGGAAGCCGCAAGACAGGACACCTACTGAGAAGGATGGAGCAAGGTCACAACTTGCAACACAAATCACAACTGATGAAAAAGAGAGGGGAACAGATGTTAGGAAGTCTACCGATGAGCAGAAAATGACGGCGACCAAGAGTGAAGGAGATATCGAAGCACCAGCAGCTGCGGAGAAAGAGAATTCAACTGGTGTGAACATTGATACAGACCAGAAGAAACCAAAGCGGAAGAAGAAACCGAAGGCATCTGGTATGGACACGGAGGCTGGACAGTCAGTGCCTCAGCAGAAGTCCAATAATTCAGATCCCCTGCCTCAAGATAGGAGCGATGGAAAAACTATTGCGGTGGAAGAAGATGGCAAGAAAAATGCTGAGCAGAAGAATAACATGTCGGACAAGCAAAGCGTTGCAGCTGTCGACGGTATTGCCATGAAGATCAGAGCGAAGAGGGCCAAGGCAAAGAGGCAACTGGACAGCGATGAAGAGTTGAGAATGCTGCTTGACAATCCCGCCCACCGCTACCCTGAATTCCAGGAAGATTTCTTGTACAACATATCCCATATAGTGCACGATCGCAAAATGTCAAATGGCCGCAAAGAGTTCGTACGGAGGCGCGAAGAGTACATCAACATCAATCATGAATTTCATGAAACGGATCTGGAGAGTGAGGAGAGCGATGTTAGTTTTGTTTGTATTCCCGCTAAGCGCCGGAAAGCCAAAACAACCGGTCAATCAATGGCCAGACGAGATAACTACAAGAAGTTCCTCAAGGGTAAGTGCCTTCTTTTCCACACATGACATGCTGTTAGCATCAGAGTTTTTCTGGGTTTGTGCTTGCATGTGCTTAAAGAGTAGTTATTAACCTCTTTAGCGCGAGCGTCGTACTAGTACGACGCACATGAGTTGCATGCCCCACGACCGTCGTACTAGTACGACGCGCGCTGTACACTGTACAGTGAACCTTCATTTCATAGTCGTGGGGTCCGTGTTGAGTCCATAGTGACTTGTTCAAACTATCGCAACTCACTCAATACTTGGTCGATTCTCACAATCGAAACATGTATCTGCAAGAGAAAACTCTCAGCTGGCGATAGAAACAATCGCTGAAGCGATGCGACTACCGGTTGTTGAGATATGCGACTCGACACGGCAAATTTCAACTCGATTTTTTTGCGCAGTCTGCAGAACGCGTATTTTCCATCATGGATCCTTTTTGCGCTACCTGCTGCCATGGAAACAAGATTCAAATGATGGTAGTGGTTCCCGTGAGTCCTCACAAAAAATTTGAGCTCGATACGAGCAAGGAGACCGAAATGGCAGCTGAATATTTGAGCTTGGTTAGTTTTGGCCGTGCTCAAGTCTGTCGAGCGCGTGGATGAAGTTTGCCAGACTGTAGCACGGGGTTTTGGTTTCGCTCCGAGCTGGGTTTGATACTAGTTTGTCCCTCGTCTCACGACCTTTCAAGGAAGCTCAAGATCGTGGAATTCGTCCAAGGGAAGGTAAAGTTATCGATCCTTGAGCAGCTAGTACTTTCATGGGAAAATGCGACTTTTACAGGTGTTGACGTGGGGCGCGCTCAGGTAGCGTCGTGCTAAAGAGGTTAATTTAAAGGGGAAGTGCATCGATTTTCCGAGTAGGGTCCAGAAGGAAGACAATTTGATATCGGTTCGAATGGCATATCTCTCGCTTCCATACGATAAGCCAAACTTGCCAAACCGCCAATTGTATGCTCACGTTGCCATAGCGACCAGCGCAGTGATGACGTATGAAAGGCTTAGTTCCCCCACAGAGAAGGTCGATCACTGCAGAAATTGGTTATTTTCAATTGTCTTATTGTATTCACGATGTGAAAGAAGTGCTGTGTTCAATGCTGTTAGTGCCGTGAACTATTTATCGCCCTTCTCATGCATTTCCCTAGGCTGACTTTGCCTAGGAAATAGTTTCCTCCAGAAAAAGATGCTTGGAATTCGCCATCTCTCCTGAGACATTTTCAGCAAACTTTCAAACCTACGACATTATTTCATTCGTCAATCTCCACCACCCGTCGTCTCACCTGGCTTCAGAAGATGTTACGAGAGATAGGAGAGTCGCCAGGAAGCATCACATTCATCTTCAGGAAGTGGAAAGAGCAAACGGCATGGTCCTTGGTTGGGGGAAATGCTGAACGTCTGATTTGTCCCAACCAGGATTTCAGCATTGTGTTCGTCACTATTTTCGCTTGTCTGCTGGTGTCTCCGCACTCCAGCTTTCTCCTGTCGGTGTCACGTCCCAGTACACAACCGAGAGGACTACTAACAAACAGTTCACTGCACTAACAGCATTGGACACGGCCCTTCTTTCACTTTGTGAATACAATAAACCAATTGAAAATGACCAAATATTTAATTCTGCAGTGATCGACCTTCGCTGTCAGTGTGGTGGAGCTAAGCCATTCGTACGTCATCACTGCGCTGGTCGCTATGGCAACGTGAGCATACAATTGGCGATTTGGCAAGTCTGGCTTATCGTATGGAAGCGAGAGATATACCATTCGAACCGATATCAAATTGTCTTTCTTCTGGACCATACTCGAAAAATTGATGCACTTCCCCTTTAACAGAGCAGAAATACTACTTCAAAAGCTGTGTGATGTAGACTAACCCAGGTAGTGGAGGTCGAATAAGTCCTGGTAACTGTTGAATGGTGAAATCCCGGCATAAGTTTGGTTTTTCTGCTGCAGCATCGCTAATCAGATTTGAAAAGCTGGAATACAAAATCCGCTAAATCCATTTCATCTCTTTTGTCTGGTAATGGCCAAAATCGTAATCACGTTATGTGCGGTTTGTATCAAAATCAACATTGGGTTTCCAGGGTGGACATGGTTCGACTCAGATTTTGGAGGTGACATTTTTTCCTTTGGTGCCCCAATACGGTTTGATTCCATTGAGCTGATAATCTGATTTTCTTTAATTTTTGCTTTTCGGGCTTTGCATTTCAGCTTTATACTTAGCCCTCGCAAACTGAAATTGAAGCTCAGTGAATGTTTGTCGACTTACAGTCTGGGGATTGCCTTGCAGGGTTTGCCTAGGATTAGGATTAGGAGAGTTACCTGGCGCTAGTCTTGATTTTTTTCGTCTCCTTTTTTCTTTTACTTTCTTTTCGGATTTCACCCACTATCATTTGCATAGAGAGAAATCTGTCAGTGTACATGCAGTGCTCCTGCATATTGGCGTGCTTCATTTTCAATGGGTTTCCATTGTACATGGTGCGTGCTTGTCCAGCGACTTCATTCCTGTGTGTGTTTGTGTGTGTGTGTGTGTGTGTGTGTCTCTCTCTCTCTCTCTCTCTCTCTCTCTCTCTCTCTCTCTCTCTCTCTCTCTCTCTCTCTCTCCTCTCTCTCTCTCTTTCTCTCTCACTCTGTGTGTGTGTGTGTGTGTGTGTCTCTCTCTCTCTCTCTCTCTCTCTCTCTCTCTATCTATATATCTTTCTATCTATCTCTCTCTGTCTATCTATCGATCTATCTATCGATCTCTCTCTCTCTCCCTCTCTCTCTCTCTCTCTCTCTCTCTCTCTCTCTCTCTCTCTCTCTCTCTCTCTCTCTCTCTCTCTCTCTCTCTCTCCCAGTTCGCAAGGCTGGGCGGGGTTGTGAGCAGGCTTTCATTTCATCTTTTCTTATCATTTCTTATAATTTCTGCTTTTCATCTCATTACAAAAATTCTGCGCTTTTTCTCCATCTGCGCATAAAATCTAGACTGACAACCTGCTTGTTAAATCATGCACCTGCTTTCAGGCGTAAAAACCCTGTTGTAGAGGTCTCAGTCCTCATTTGTTAGACTTACCTGTCTTTATAAATGTAACTTACTCTCTCTCTCTCTCTCTCTCTCTCTCTCTCTCTCTCTCTCTCTCTTCTAAAGCATGTGCAAGAAAATACATTCTTTCTCTTCAGCCTTGGTCTTGAGGCCGATGAAACATCCTAAGATTTGTATGGCGGTTTATGTGTTTGCGTGTGTGTGTGTGTGTATGTGTGTATGTGTGTATGTGTGTATGTGTGTATGTGTGTATGTGTGTATGTGTGTATGTGCGCTCGTGTATGTGTGTGTGTGTGTGTGTGTGTGTGTGTGTGTGTGTGTGTGTGTGTGTGTGTGTGTGTGTGTGTGTGTGTGTGCAGTTGTGTGTATGTATGTGCCTGTGAATATTCTAGCATTTGCTTGTGTGTGTACGTGAATGCTGGCGTGTTTGTGTGTGCATGTTTTTGTTTGTGCCCATGCTTGTCTATTTTCCCCACTTGTGCAGTCTCAAAGATAAAACATGGTGAAGATGTAACCGCCTTGAGATGGATCATTGACAGACACACCAAGCCGCGTCGAGGCCCCGACCCCGAATGCCTAGGCAAGGAACGGATTGCGTTCTGTCATTGTCGGAAGCACTGGTTCTATAATGCAAAGAACGCGCACCTGTGGGATGAATGGGATATTGATTTCAAAGAGGGAACGCCTAGAGACGACTACGTCAACGCGGATGACCTGATGGATGAGGAGCTCCTGGAAGCTTTCCACATGGATAAAGCAACCCTGGGACATCTGGAGAGAGAGCCGCGGTATACTGTTCCCTTCTGGCCGGCAAAAATGTATGATTTAAATCGGAAGAATGAGCTCAAGTATCTAGATGAGCTTACTGCGGATGATCCCGCTGAAGAGGTGCAATTGTTGGGATTCTTGCACCCTTGGTTTGAAGGGTTTGGAAAGAAGAAAAAGAAGAAGGATCCAGATGACAGCGAGGAAGACGATGTGAGCGCAAAATCTTCGGCTAACAACCCAGATGTTAAGAGTGGTTCATCGCGGCCAGAGAGCCCACTCCTGCCATCGCCCACACTATCCGAGTGCGACTCCATACTAGGCACAGACAGGGCTCTGGTCGGTAGTGCGGATAAGTCCTCCGATGCCTCATCGACGCCGTTTCCCTCTGACTCCTCCGGCGATGACCGGGGCCACACGTTTCGCCGGTGGAAGCAGGGAACGCGACAACTCGATGATGTCGTCAAACAGGAGTACGCCCTCGCAGGGGATCTGGGCGCGAGGCCCAGCGCCAAGAGATCTGCCTGCAGCGGTGCCTGGGGCAAAGTCAACGTTCAACAAGTTCTCAAAATTCCGGGAAAGATTCCAGCCGACCGGCGTAGATCAACAGAGCTTAGAAAGCCAGCCGAGCAGGGTGCAGCGGCAAATCCGCCTCCAAGCGGCAAGCCAAAGCCACCGACAACACTAAGGCCAACACGAACAACAAAGCCATCATCAACACCAAAGCTGCCATCACCAACAGTGACACCAGCAGCAAGAAAGCCACCATCAAGAAAACAGCCTTCATCCACACCAAAGCCAACACCAAAGACTAAGCCACGACCACCAACAACGCTATCGCCATCACGACAACCGGAGCCCAAACCAAAACATATAGGATCATCAATATCAACACCAAACCGTGCAGCAAGTTCTGTACCATCGAAGCTTGCTCACCCCTCAAAGACACGCAATTTACCCAAACAAGCAGTAGCATCATATCAGCCCAAGCTTTTAGGATCACAGAAAACGAAGCGTCAACAAAAAGCAAGGACAAGCAAGAAGAAGACTTGGGCTGTGACCAAGAAGAAGAAGAAGAAGAAAACGAAGAAAAAGAGGAATACGGATATCCAGCGTGTGTATGTTGGTGGACAGGAGCCACTATCAAGTTGTTCGGACGAAGACGTCAAGTTGAGGGCACAACGACAACGCAATAAAGACAACCAGCTGTACGACTCCTGGGAGGATATCTGTAGAGAGGCGCCCCCACCAGTAGAGATGTTGCCAAGACTGATTCCCAGACCGTACCGGCTGGGGAGCATGCCAGCTTCAGCGACGGTTGAGATGCCGCCAAGGAAGCATCGCAAGACGGTTTACGACTCGCCCACCGATCTACACTTCAAGTGGTATTGGGGCAGAGTGATGAGACATATACCCGTAACCCAACCGCCACCACCGTTGCCTAACCTGTTTGCACACATGCCAAGGACACCAACAGAATGGCAAATGAGGAGGGAGGCAAGGCACCACCAGTATCTGCAGTACATCAATACATGTGTTATGGAGTTCTACGAAAAGAATCCACCCCCGTCGGCATTCGGAGTGGAGGAAATGTATGAGCTGCTGCCGTTTAAAACACCCGACTTTGGCTGGAGTCCTGTCAAAAGCAAGACCCCTGGAAAACCTGGGACTGGAGAAATCGGAGCCTCTGACTGTTCTGGCCCAGGTACAATTGACAGAATTGACTTAACAAGTAGTATGGATGAGATGTTGAGGCCGGTGACAACCGACATTTCCTCCGGCTCCACTAGCAGCTGGAACACGGAAGGTGCCGTTGCAAGGGTTCATACGTGCGATGGAAGCAGGACCCCGAAACCCATCCTGGCCGCAGCAGATTCTTTGCATGTTTCCCGGACAGCAAGCAGTGCAACTGGTTCATCGTCAATGACCTTGCCCACCACCCCGGATGATTTATTACCAGGCCCTGTGAATCCCTGGGATGGACCATTCAGAGGATACCCAATAAGCACATACTTCCCATCCTACACCGGGGCAACTTCTGCCGCTCAGCGATCCAGACTAACACCATGGTCCGGGTTAAGCTGTGTGCTTGACGTGGATCCAGAGTTTGCTACCGATGAGCGTTCATACACACCGCTGAGCTGGGATCTACGATATTCCGGTTCGAACAGGACGTCATCTTCGGCACGCTCTCTGGGAAGCGCTGCACTCAATGCCAGACCGTGGACACCACCTGAACGAAGAAAGGCGAGCCAGACCACACGCCATGCGAGGGGCGTTGAGTCTGCGACTGTCCCATCTGGTCGTGGTGGTCGAGGTCGTCGTCGCAGCAGAGGCAGAGGCAGAGGCAGAGGTGGAGGTGGTGGTCGTGTTGGTGGTGGTGGTCGTGTTGGTGGTGGTGGTCGTGTTGGTGGTGGTGGTCGTGTTGGTGGTGGTGGTCGTGTTGGTGGTGGTGGTCGTGTTGGTGGTGGTGGTCGTGTTGGTGGTGGTGGTCGTGTTGGTGGTGGTGGTCGTGTTGGTGGTGGTGGTCGTGTTGGTGGTGGTGGTCGTGTTGGTGGTGGTGGTCGTGTTGGTGGTGGTGGTCGTGTTGGTGGTGGTGGTCGTGTTGGTGGTGGTGGTCGTGTTGGTGGTGGTGGTCGTGTTGGTGGTGGTGGTCGTGTTGGTGGTGGTGGTCGTGTTGGTGGTGGTGGTCGTGTTGGTGGTGGTGGTCGTGTTGGTGGTGGTGGTCGTGTTGGTGGTGGTGGTCGTGTTGGTGGTGGTGGTCGTGTTGGTGGTGGTGGTCGTGTTGGTGGTGGTGGTCGTGTTGGTGGTGGTGGTCGTGTTGGTGGTGGTGGTCGTGTTGGTGGTGGTGGTCGTGTTGGTGGTGGTGGTCGTGTTGGTGGTGGTGGTCGTGTTGGTGGTGGTGGTCGTGTTGGTGGTGGTGGTCGTGTTGGTGGTGGTGGTCGTGTTGGTGGTGGTGGTCGTGTTGGTGGTGGTGATGATGGTGGCGGTAGTGCTCATAGTGTAGGTGCTGGTGCTTCTGCTGCTGCTGCTGCTGCTGCTGCTGCTGCTGCTGCTGGTGCTAGTGGTAGTGTTGCTGGTTTGGGTGTTGGTGGTGTTGGTGGTGTTGGTGGCGGCACCCAGGATGACTGTGACCCGCAATCACCCATCGCTCGTACTTCACCCTCGTCTTTGCAGCATTCTGATTCCAGCAGCAAACACAGCACCAGTAGTTCTGTGACTGGACAAAGTGAACAAACGCCAAAGTCAGGCGAGAAACGCTTGCCCTCCAAGTCATCCTCCCGCAGGAAAATAATTGGACGCTCCGGCAGGGGGAGGAAATCTATGCAACGTCAACTCTCCACTATATTTGAGGTTGAATCCCCCCACTCACAACCATCTTCAAATCAAGCAAATGAGAAAAATATTGCTCAAAACACGAATGAAGCATCCACACAACAGCCATTGGAAGAGGAAACTGGTCAAGATTTGCCACTGAATACAGGGAGTCTGAATCCAATGGGTGACAGACCCCGATCACCAGTTGCAAGACGCCGCCAAATGAACCGCACAGATGCAATTGCTGCAGATGATAGTCAGAAGATCTCCGAACTTCAACATCACCCAACGCCAGGCTTTCAATCTCCCAAACTAGGAGGGCCAGCATCATCCAGCACCATGCAACACCAGCAAAATGCAGGGCTGAAGGAACATGCATCGACTTCCACATCCAGAATGCCCGGTGCTGAACTAACTTCTTCAGCCATGGAAAGCCAAAGAGATTCCACTGGTGGACAGCATGGAGTAGCCTCAACAGATTCGCAAATGCGGGCTGCTCAAGGTGCAGAGCAACGTGTCACACTCTCAGCTTCCGACAGAACACAAACTGGTATTGGGAGACGTGCCGGCGTAGAGACTGCGACCAACAGCCCAGCAAAGTCTCCAGTAGTAGTGTCAGCGGGCAGCCAACAAGCTGACAGTGGAAGGCCCATGGCTCAGTCACCTTCACTGGTATCCAGCCTGCCACTCATAGATAGCTATGATGGTGTTGTGCCTCTACGAGCGGATGAAACACGGAAAACGTCTCAGGCAGGAAGCCCTATTGGACCCAATCCAACTACATTACCGAGAATATCACCTTCCCAGGGCATTGTCCCGCGACGTTCTCCACCGCCTGGCTTGTACATGGGCAATACAACTGGTTCTCGCAAGTCAACAACAACAACAACCACATTACCGGATATTGACAGCGGACGTGGCATTGTTCCAAGAGTAGCATCCGCAGTACGATTGACTGAACAGTTTCATGAAGTTCAACCACAGGGGACATCTAATTTCAACAACCTGAATGACTCTGATCGCTTGCAGATGGATTTAGGACACGTCAGCAAGGATTCTTATGGAACAGAAGTCAACTCCATTGGTACGCCACAGCCAGTGTGTCGCCATCCTAACCAATCCAGGAATAGGTCACCGGGCTTAGACGGCCCCTCAGGCAAAGATCCGGTTAGAACTGTTCGGCGCCCCATCACGCCCAGCAAACCTGACAGCCTACGCCAACTCCCACACCACTACAACAATGGAACGATAGTGTTGAGCGATCCTCTCCACCCACTAGACCGTCGGCGTTACTTTTATGACTCCGTGGCACTGAACGGGGAGGCGGAAAATGACACGGACGCCGACTCGGAACGATATGCTAATGCCCGTGTTGGTGGACTGGTAGCACGCCATGCCAAGCTGCCAACATCAGGTCTGGGTGAGCAGTCGCAGGGCTATCGAAAGTCAACCATTGCTGACTCCAATGAACGGAGAGGTAGAGCCAAGAGAAACTCATCCACAGACTCACAACTATCTGATAGTTCACCTGTTCGCAAAAGGCCACGGCGCTATGCTAAGGCGAGGTTTAGTTCTCGAAAATCAACCATTGCTCGGCCTTCGATACAAAACTCGAAAGTGGAAGACACCGCTACTGCTGATTCAAAAGTATCAAAAAATGGTGAAGTTGGAGAAAAAGCATCCAATTACACCTTGCTATCACAAGCAGATCTGGATAAACCGTTGCACGGTCCTCGAACGCCAATTTCAAGACAGGAATACACCAGGAGGTGGATGTTACAACTTCCTGAATTGCCAGAACTATCGGATACTCAAGAAGAACTTAATAGACACAGTGTGAGAGAGCAAGAAGTGCAAGAGGCAAAAGTGGACAATGGTGTGACTCCAAACACAGAGATGACCGTGTCGCAGTATCCTGACATGCCCGAAGACGCCCAAGAACAAATCGAACATCGAAGGGTGAGTGGACAAGAAGGTAACGAGGCAGCAGCAAACAATGATGTAAAACCAAGCAGAACAAGACCTTTGCATAGGATGTCAAAATGGCGTATACTGCGTACATACGTTCCGTATGTGGAAGAGAACTTGAAGAAGAGGGAGGCTGAACTCAGGGAGGCTGATAAACAACTGGCTGATATGCGGGAGGCTATGTTGAAAGAGGTTGAATTGCAAGAGGCCGCATTACAAGAGGCCGAAGAGAGGAAAGCTAAAGAATCAGAAGTCGAAACACCTACAGACTTGGATTGTGACAGTGATGACAAAGATGATGAAGAACGTTTGCAAGCTCCTGTTGATATTCACGAGCTGTATAGGAATGACCCGCCGATGCCGCGCATCTCCTCTCGTCCAGCTTCGCATCTGCTAGAAACTGATGATACTGGAGCAGTGGTGACATCTGCTGTTGATCGCGAGACCGCTGGCTCTGTTGATGTGGATCAAAATAACCAGAATGCCGACGATGGTGGCAGGAAAGGCAGCCCACCGTTCCTACACAAAAATGTCAAGTATCACCATTACGTGAAGGTTCACCACTCAGAGTCCGGGGTACGACTCAGCTACCGTAGAGGCAGGATCGAGAACGAAACGCCACCGCCGAAGTCCGTCCACTCTCGGAACAGTGAGGACTATGTGGTCGAAGGCCTGCCCTACTTTGACTACAAAGATGCTGATGAAGAAGAGCACTGTGATGAAGTGTTCTTTGCAGACGGGGAGGTGCCGCCACAACTGGATACAGATAAGGCTGACAAGAAATCTTCTTCTGACAATGCCGCTGATAAAAAATCCCTTGATCTTGATGAAGAGTTTCGCACCTTGCTTGGGTCAAAGAAGGCTGAAACTGTCGACGAGGAGAGTACAGCTAGCCCACTCCCACAATACGATCGTCTTCTTCGATACGAACAGGACAAACCCCAATGATCATCGCATTACTGTAAAAGCAGAAATTTTCGGTGGTGTAATATTTTCAGTATTCTCCGAAATCGGCGGTTCGGTAGAGGGAAATGTTCGGTAAAACCCGTTTTCCAGGTAAGTGTACTAGTACTACATGTATACAGTATCGGTTGTACCGAAATTTTCGGTGCGTTTTAATATCGGTAAAAATTGTCGGCACCAAAGTTACCGAAAATAAAACACCTCCGAAAATTTCTGCTTTTACAATACATTTTTGATGAACTGCAACACGTACACGTACATGTATGTGCCCACTGTAGACAGTGATAGATATGCATGTGCTGATGTAGTATCGACAACTTTATACATCCTTGTTCTTTTAATGCACGCCAGCTGCCGGGTTGATGTTTTGGTGGAGCTGATTTACTTTCCCTGTGTAGCCATACACATTAGTATCATGATCCGGTCAATAGTTTCCGTTAACAATTTCCTTCGCAAAATTCATGGTCATGCAATACATGAACTTGCTTTATTTATGATGTTTATTGGGTTTTTTTCATTTCAAACCCTCTGCCATGAGTTTCCTTCCCCGATTTTCTTTGGCTTTCCACTTTTTTGATTTTAATACTGCGTTCCACTGCAGGTACATGATTGTCCAGGTACATGATGGAACCCACCAATTGTCACATCATTCTCTCTCCTCTTCCTGCACTGCCAATTCTCTGAATGCATCATGATTCATGGTGCGAACAGATGTGTATGCCTCAGTGCAAGCTGGACAATCCCATAATGAAATTGCTACGGAGAGACAAAGGTTCCAAGATTGGTGTTCGTGTAATGCTTGTTACTGCTGGCTGCCTACTTGTTGTGGAATACCGTCGTGCTGGCCAGTAAGTGCCTGGTGTCCACAGCAGTATGCGGTAGACGTTTGCGGATAATGCCGGCAGAAAAATTGGCAAAATTCGGTACTTAAGAATGGGTTTGCTCCCCACACCGGAGCTCGCGCTATTCCGCCGACTTTACTTGACACTTGACTGACTCACGACTGCCATCCAGAGGACACCAGACGTCCATCGAACCTTCGACTCGGCAAACCTGCAAGGAAGCACCACTCCCTGCTCAATACACAGTGTTTCGGGGAATTCACCCCTCATCAGTTGAGCTTGAGTAGGCTGAGGAAGATTGCGCCTGAAGAGCACCACTTATCATGCTCTCCAGGCACAAACATCACCAAGGATACAAACTTACAGAGACGCTCCGTTTCCAGCGCGACAAACACCTCGTGAACACCAGATAGCGGCGTTTGCCGAGTCGAAGGTTCGATGGACTTCTCGTGTGCTCTGGATGGCAGTCATGAGTCAGTCAAGTGTCAAGTAAAGTCGGCGGAATAGCGCGAGCTCCGGTGTGGGGAGCAAACCCTTTCTTACAAATCATCGCCGAAGTCGCAACCACTACTTCGTAATTCGATACTTTTTCTGGTAAGTTTCATGCACGTTTGGTATGTGGATAAAGAAATGGAGCAAAATTCCAGGAATTACCCGCCATAAGGTTTGTATGGTTCTGCCAATTTCACTGCTTTTCGAGCAGAAACTGCCACCTTTTCGAGCATTATCCGCCAATGCCTAGTGTGCGGTGTAGTCTCTTTTACTGGCAAACAAAACACAATTATAGCAATTTATGGAGGAGTAGAACACAATTCAAGTAGTGAAAAGAATTGCATGAAAGGAAGAATGTGATAAGTAAATTGGAACCCTACTCAAATACAGCAAAGTTCAATGAAGCTCCAAGATCAGTTGTATGCTGCAGCCCCTTTCCTCCTTGTGGCTAGTCGTGAGCAGTGCAGTGCCTCTATTTTTAGTGAAGGGGCTGAGACGTGAAACGAGCGTTACCCACTAAATGTGTACCTTTGCTAGTACGAAATCGGTTACAAATCAAAGTCCGTGCGGATACATGTACGAGGTTGATGATCGTAGAAATACGTGAAACTCAGAGTTGCGACACAGCTTCTAATCTCTCTGTTCTGTACAAGTCATGTGCTAGTACATTACGTGACTGTACAGTCATGTAATGACTAGAGAAGGTCTGAGGCTTCCTGTAGCTCCATCTACATGTCTGAAATAATGAGTTCGGGTGCACCCACTGTATTTTCCTCTTCCTGCTTTTCTATATTATCACCACCTTCATCATTTTGCGAGAACTGTGGCAATACGACCGGTGCGAAGGCAGATTTTGCCTGTGCTTCTGGTGAAGTAAAAATAAAGCTAAACAAACAAACAAAAGCCCACCCATTTCCATAGCGCTGCACATCCGAACCAGTTGCGCTGTACATGTATTTAACAACGATGAGTACTCATTGTTCCTACTACTACGTGATGATGGCCAAGTGCCGAAATGTTGTGAGACAACTGAACTGGTTCGGATGTGCAATAGGCTCCGGCAGATTCTGCTCGCGAAATCATGGAATTATGCTTTCTTGGATTCTCGCATTATGCTCGCAAAATCCTCATAATGCTTTGGCACGCGGGGATACATATTCACTTTGTTGTACTTATGTAGCATCAAAGCTCGGACAATTGTGCGTTTTTCGTACTTGCAAGTGGCCATAAGTGCAACAAAATGTTACACGAGTATCTCCATACCAAGGTGTCCATGCATTAGGCTCCTGTGGATTATGCTCGCAAAATCATGCTTTCATGGATTCTCTCATTATGCTCGCGAAATCCTCATAATTATTATGCTTTGGCACGCGGGGATACGTATCACTTTGTTGTACTTATGGAGCCTCAAAGTTGAGAAAATTGTGCCTTTTTCGTACTTGCAAGTGGCCATAAGTACAACGAAATGTTACATGAGTATCCCCATACCAAGGTATCCGTGCATGCTAGAGATCAACATGAAAAAGAGAAACATACTTCTTCTATTCATTCGTTGACTGCTTTGTAAAAAGATTTTTTCATTGCCAAAATAGTTTGAGTTACCTTTGAAAATAATCATGTTCAACTGTCTTCGTAATCGTCATACTCGTCCAATCGACGTCACCCTCAACCTTCGAATAATCAGCTCATCTCTCCCGTAGCTCCACCTCTCCTTCCATCATGACCGCACATCAACTATACCTCTTCTTCTTCTTCTTCTTCTTAGAGCAATATCCATAGCGTGCACAGTCATGGCTGCTAAAGTCCAGACGTCATGACTTCGTAACATGCATAATGTACATGTACGCGGAGTTTTGCGGATTACCCGTCACTATCTCGTCCGCCCCAGGATACCTAATAAAGGCTGATTCACTCGCATCTTCTGCTACATGTACTGTATCAGCGCGAGAAAGAACTTTGAAGAAGACGAGTTCGAGCATACAATACTGTATTGTCGTGATTGATACCCTGCTTTTCATTGAAAACACTATCTGCATGATCTCCAAGCCCTTTGCCATGCAGACCACCAGCACTGATCAGGTGCATTGTACACAATTCTGTAGCCTACATACTAGAACTGTGGTACAATCATGTACATGTAGTTATGCTCCTACTTACGAAAGGATGCCAAATTATGCTCCAAATTTTCAACCACCAAATTATGCTGGCATAATCCGCCGGTGCCTAATATGCAATGCTATGGGAAATGGGTGTGTCAATGATCCACCTGATTCCATTTCAATTTTAAAGAGATAATAATTGTAATAATTGTTTTCTAGACAAAATTTGCTATAACGTCACCTCCAACTGGCTCACATGTTCGAATCCCTCATCATTTATTACAAGGCAAAGCAAATGGTCATCAACTGTGATTAATGTTTGCTGGAATGGCTCGATATTCTCTGCCAGCAACTAATTACTATTAGCGCTAAGTTTTAAAACATAATATCTCGGGTTTCTAATTTCTAGCGAGCCCGATCGATGTTTTACTACACACGATGAAGTATTATTGTCGTCTTGTACAGTACAGGGGTCCGATGGGAAAAAAATGTCTTATATTTTTTAACTGGTTGTCTTGTACAGGGTCTGCGGGAAAACAATCCATTGAATTTGTCTGGCTCGAATCGGGTATGGGACCACGCGGTCGACAGTGGCCGGTCGACAGAGCGTATTGCCGTAATGAGGAATGTTGAAGCCCCCGTCGTTGTCTACGACCAGAGAGGCTAGGCTCTGTCTACATAATGCACATGTGTATCTAGTGCAGTCAGTGTAGATCTACCAGTGGCCGGCTATGTGGACACACATGTTTGTGTGTTGTCCAAAATAGTATAAGATAACATTGGACTATTGACAACAGACATACGACGACCCGAGGACGACCACGTCTGAGATGGATCGACGTTGTCAAGAAAGACTTACAATGCATTAATCTGTCGCTTCTGGATGCTGTGCAATCTGCTTCTGAGAGAGCTGCTTGGCTCGAAATTGTGAACAGATGCGTTGACCTCATGCAATGAGTGATATGCGAACTGTGATTATTATTATTATTATTATTATTAATAGCAATGAAAAGTATGAATGCCGCAGACATCACCACGCAACATGACAATTTGTTCAAGGTTTGGTTTTGTGTGTTTCCAAAATCGATTTTCACGTTCCGATCATCAGTGGAAATACGGAACTAAAGAGATCAAGGGAAAAACAAAGGTTAAAAATCCAAAGAAGTGTGACACATGACGGGTAACTTGTGGTAAGTATTACAAAAAGTGAGAACTAAAATAAAGAGTAAGTGTGACAAACGGGCATGAACAGTGCAGAAACAACTCATGAACACGGGGTGCAAACTCACGAAAATAACCTAAGTGCTAAAACATGTTCTTTTTGCTTACACAAATCGGGCTTATGCGTACGAATACAAACAGCTTCAAGGACCTTCAACTGCTGGACATAACGGGCACGACACAGTACAGAGAAGTGGGAATCATCATACACACTCAAACAATCGGGACGAGATAACAAATGCAAGTACACAGCTGACTTCTTACGAATTTCACCCTCATCAGCTCCATCACCTTCCCTGCCACCTGACTCCTTCTCGTCCGTTTTATCACC